GACACTTTGTGGAAATGCAACTAACAAACATTTTTATTTTCGTGGCTTCCACTACAAACCAGTTGATTTTCCTTTCGGTAGTGATAGCAACTAGGTGAACTGGTTGCAAAACGATGCAGTCTTTTGCTTATGGCCTGCTTTGCTCCGCTTTTCATTTAATTCTCAGCACTTAACGTGAACTCCATTTAGCCAGTTCCGCCCGAGCTCCTGACCCCCAGAAAAAAAGCTCAAAGTGGCCGCCAGCGCGTCAACATAACATTTTTCGCTTTATAAATATTTGAGCGCTTAAAAGCCGGCAAGGACCCCTCGGAAAAGCAGGAGATCTGCAATTGCAGTCGAGAGCTCACAGCTTCTCTGGCTGGATTTTCCGTGTTGGCTGTTTCTGGCCGTTTCCCTGTTTTGGCCAATTTTCCCTGGTTTTGCCGGGGAGCGCAGGCGATAATCGCATGAGGCTCAGCTCTTTATTGGCCTCGCTTATGCTCATAAAAGTCGGCCAGCAAACTGCAGTGCATCCGATTCGCACGCCGGAGATTTGGGGCGGCTAATTGGAATTTGTAGCAGGCAATTATAGTCCTTGCAGGCCAGAATCCAGGACACAAAGAGCAGCACCGCAACTGACACTTTAAGGCCATTGAGGATTGCACTTGCATTTGCGTTTGCGTTTGCATTCCGCCAGTCCAATAACAATAATGGCAACATAACGGGTCACTGGGGGCGGCGGCGGCCAACTCATCCTGCGACCTTCCTGCGGCCAGCTTGGCATTAGTTTGCATTATCCTCGAACCGGGGAGAAGTGGGTGGTGGTGGTGATGGTGGTGGGGGAGCTGCTCCTGCTGGTGGCGTAATATTGTTATTGTTAGCGTTATTGCGCTCAATGTGGCACAAAAGTTGCCTGCCACAAAGTTGGTGCAAAACTTTCAGCCGTGCCTGCTTGACATATAAATTTTAATTTCTCGGCTCGAGTGGAAAGCGGCGAACGGAACTTTGCGGCCAGCCGCACAACACAACACAACACACAACACAGCACAGCACACCAGAACGCAACGCAAAGGCAAACATACAATCCAAAGCCGAAACTAAAGTTGCATTGGCCACACTCGAGAGGAGAGCAGCTGGCAGCCCCTGGAGTGGCCACTGGCCGATGGAAAAAGCCAGGGAAGCACGCGGTTCAAGGCCGTGGTCCGAAGCCCCAGCCAGCATCAATTTATGAAGCCCAACAAGCGAGCCAACAACTAACTGAAAAAACCACCGACAGACAGCCCGCCAGCAGAACGTAATTTATTGAGTCTGACGCTTGTCAGCGGCGTGTGAAGTGGCTGCCACCAGCAGCTGGCAATTTATGTGGGCCACGACGGCTTCTCCTACTTCTTCTTCTTGTGATTCAGGGCCAACTTTCCGCTTAGGATGCCGAACCCTTTGACAACTTTTGGGCCCGAACGGAAATGAAAGGCAATGGCAAACATTTGCCGAAACTATAGGTGGGGCCGTCAAAAGTGGCAATGCCCTAATAGGATTACCAAGTTAACAGTTGGCCTTTCAAGCCACTAATTCCACAGAGAAAAAATCTCTCCCAATAATCAATCATTCGGGCTTTTCCTTTTTTGAGAGAAACCTGGAAATTTAAAACTAAATTTCACTATTTAGTTTGGAAAATGTTTGACTAATACAAACTGCACTTAAATATTTAACTTGGTGAAGATGAAAAACTGGAAATGGCAAAAGGAGACCCAAATCAGCTTTTCCAGTAGCCATAACTCGGACAATTTGTACCCGAACCTAAAGTGGCATACCTCTAAACATTTGTGATGGAGTTCCCAATCGAACTGCGTTTAAATATTTCAATTTGGTGATGGTCCAATTTTTGGACCTTGTTCATGTCAAATTTATTCCAAGATTCCCAATTTTCCAAGCGAGCTGTAAGGCATTTTTTAGTCATATACGCGTTATTATATTTTTGGTAAAAAGTAAGGGGTGAAAAATATTTTTTTAATCACGCAAAGAACACAAAGGGCAACTGATAGTATTGTGTGATTTTTTCTCTGTGTCATATTCCGTGGAAAAGGAGCCGGAAAAGGAGAACGACACATTAAACACTCCCCACCTTTCCGGCCCCGTCAGCCGCTATCTTCATCTAAAGAAGAAGGCACTCCTTCGGTTCGTCCTGTCTCTTCCACTCGTCCCGCTCCTTTCGCTCGTCCCGCACATCCTCGAGATGTCTTCTTGCCGCGCAGAGCCCGCAGCCAAGGCGAAAGACAACTGCGGCTTTTATTGTTTCCGCTGTTGACATTATCACGGCAGCGACACCTGCCGAGCGGGGTTGGCGAGCGTTTTATTGTTTTGCGCCTGATGCAATGTGACAGCGCGCCCTTATTCCTGCTGCTCCTCCTCTTCCTCTCCCCCTTCCTCTTCTTCTAGACTTCCTTGCGTGCGAGGATATCGGGAGTTTGCACGGCGCTAACAGTCAATATTGCGCATACGCCGCATTGCTCCATTAAGATAATTAAAAGCTGCCGAGTCACGCTGCAGTCGGCCAAAGGATCAGTCGATAAACACGCCAAAAACGGCAACAAGTCAGGAGGAAAGGACAGGCCAAGACACCCAGCCAAGTCGCTCTATTAACCAACTGCCGCTGAATAATTAGGCAGCTTCCGCTTTCGTTTCCGCTTCCGGTGGCGTCTCTTCGCATAAATTACACCCGATATGCCCAAGGCAAGATGGGACAGAACAAAAAAAAAAAAAAAACACTGGCAGAGTCGTCAAGCTAGAGGTCCTTAAAAAATCAGACGACCAGCTGCTGCTGCGGTCTGTTTTCCCAAGGACAAGGAAAGTCGTCGACAAGCCGGCTTTTGTCATCGCCAGTTGGCGGCAAATTGTGATTTAGTGCGGCGGGGTTATTTCTCTTTCAACGCGAACGAATCGGCTCGAATCAAAAGTGCATAAATATTGCCAGCTCGAGTTGCCGCATTGATATCATTTACATTTCCGTCGGAAGCGTTTACACGCCTGTCACCGCTCTTATTTATTATGCATTCCGCTGCAATTGAAGCCATTATTGCTCGCGCTTTTTGGCCCACAATGAATTAAGTATGCACTTGGTTTGGCTGGCAAAAACGCTAACTGCAATTCATCTAAATTACTTTGCAGCGACGATGATTGGATGCCGATTAAAAAGATGGCAAATTGAGCACTACAATTTAATTACCAAAATTGACGGCAGCCATTTTGGGCAAACCGGAGTAAATTGCCGGACCGTTACAACCGAAATGTTCAGCTTGTCCGGCGAATAGGAAATGAAATATGTAGGATTCGACGCTTTGATATCGGTTAGAGAGATATGGGATAATTTCATTTGACCTTTAAAATCGAAGGACAAATCTTATTGTAGGTTAACTTTGCTCAGATTTCTCCCTTTTAAAATATATGTTTTATTCTGTCGCACTTGCTGCAGTCTGATATGCCACTCCGAAATCGCTGCATCCATCAACTCAGCAATGCAAACGGTTGCATTTTACGAGAATTGTTTATTTGGAATGCAACGATGCATTGTTGCCACACTGATCCCATTTTGCCATGTGGATGTGCGGGGGCAGCAACCGTCAAAGGGACAACAACTCCGCAAAAAGAGCCCCGAAAAGAGTAGCAATAACCATTTTTTATGCAACGCTTTTTGCGGTTGCCGTTAACGCTGATTTATGAGTGTTAAGTTAATTTGGGCTGCCAGTCTCCACCGCACCACCGCTCCACGAATCCTTGATTGGGCCGCATCCCCCAGCTGTTGGGTATTCAGGTCCCACTACTTCATCATTCTAGGCTCCAGTTCATGCAACTCATGCATGTTTGAACGGCACCACCGCCCACATAAACTCACCCACAGAAGGCCGGCCGCCCGCCCAATCGCAACCACCCGGAACCACACGGCTGCTGGATGCAAATAGAGGCTCCGTTGAAATGCACTTTGAGTTATAGTCAAAATATAAAACGCACAGTTGCATTTACGAGGCCATAGACTGCGTTCGGGCAAATGGAGAGCGATGGCATTTACACCGTCACCTGCGGGGGCTGTAAAAGCTTGAATGCTGAATTATCCGACATTCTTGCCACGGGGTCACGAGTGGCAAGCCGGCTACTATGTACTCCAAATATGATCCACATCCCCAATGCCCACGGGCTCAATGTATTTACTATTTTTTACTCATTTACGTTCAATTATTCCTGCAAAAAAAAACAATGAAGAGGAAATTGTGTTTTACGGACTGTGGCTATATACAAAAAGTTTGAATTATTGCCTTTGGTTAAAAGTTTTAATACAAATTCCATCTACTTTTAAGCTGAGATCAACCTTTTAAAATGTTGTTTGTGAGTGCAAATAAAGTTCTGAAATAAAAAAGGGACTTTGTTTGCACTTTAAAATGTTCTTTTTACTAGAAGGATTGTAAAAGCAAGAATAACTATAGTTTTTGTAGGTATTCATAATTTAAGCAATGTTCTAACACAAAGTTGCTATAATTTATAAAATTGTGAAGGACAACAGCAGTTTGTACCAGCCATAATTAAATGTCTTATACTAAGTCAAGACGGTACAAAATTCAAGCTTTTCCGCTTAGAGGGCGTTGGAATGAAAAACTCCCCCAGAGAGCGGCAGTTGCGAAAAAGAAAAACTCTCCAGGTGGACAACTTGGCGCATGCGAACTAGAGGTTGTCATAAAAGAAGACGGCAATACAATACCAATTTTAATAGACAGAAAATACACTATTGGGAAAGAAAAAAGAGACAACTGTATGTTGACAAGGAATATTTTTGAATTAAATTTCCTCTTTCGCGCCACATTATCTGAAGTAAAACAACTTGTTACGCTATCAATTTCGAATCGAACAAATAATCAAAACATAAAAGTTATCAGCAAATTTTATGGCTATTGCTCCGAAGAAGAAAATGAAACTTTCGTGGCGTTATGAACGAGTTCAGATAAGATTGCGTTTAGTTTTGTTCTGAGCTCCGACATGTGCGGACCAAAAGCGTGAAAATGCGCCTCGGCAGTGCTTGGCTGGCACTCAGCCTGCTTTTGCACCTGGAACTCGGGCAGGCGGCCAATATTTTGACCGTATTCCCGTACCGCCTCCCCTCTCCATTCCAGATGGTACGTCCTTTGGTTCGGGCATTAGTCGACCGGGGTCACAAGGTCACCATGGTTAGTCCTGCGGGATTACCCGCCGACATTCAGGGAGTTCGTCACATTCGAGTTCCAATGCTGAATAAGAACATGCAGGGTGAGTCACCAGTGAGTCAACGCCTTACCATAGGTCAATATAACTCATTTCAATTCGGTTTTCACACAGATTTTCTAGACAACGAAAATCTTCTTGAGTTTTTTGGAAGCAAATGGCAGGAGGGAATAATGACCGCCAAAGCTTTGTACGATGTATCATACGCCATTCTGAGTGCCGATGGAGTGAAGAAGATAATGCAGGACAAGTCTGAACGATTCGATATGATAATGATGGAGGCCAGTCACCTGGATGCCCTATATGGCCTGGCAGAGTTCTATAATGCCACGCTGGTTGGAGTTGCCTGTATGAATGCTAACTGGAATGTCGACTATTTGGCTGGAAATTCCGCTCCGAGTGTGTTTGAACCAATTTCCCCCATGGGATACGCTCTCGACGACTCGTTGATCAGCCGGTGGCATAATTGGATCTACATAACCGAGGAGAAACTCCTTGAGAACCTCGTGTATCGACCCGCTCAAGCTAGGGTCTTCAAGAAGTTCTTCGGCTATTCTGCTGAAAAAATGGTTCAGCTGCGGAAAAGGTTCTCGGTCATCCTGGTTAACAGCCACTTTAGCATGGGAGGAGTGCGAGCGAATGTACCCAACATCATCGAGGTGGGTGGATTGCATCTAAGCGAACCTTCAGAACCTTGTAGTGCCGAATTGAAGAGGTTTTTGGACGAGGCGGAACACGGTGTGATATACCTTTCAATGGGACAGGATGTGTTAGTGAAATATCTGCCAGACAATATGCAGAAACCATTGCTAGAGGCTTTTGCACGACTAAAACAACGAGTGGTTTGGAGGAGCGAGCTTTCCCTGGGCGCCAACAAATCGGAGAAGTTCTTTATAATCGAGAATGCCCCTCAGCGCCAGTTACTGTCCCATCCAAATGTGCGTCTCTTCATTACTCACGGTGGAAAACTAAGCGTGATGGAGGCTATTGACAGTGGTGTTCCAATGCTGGGACTTCCACTTTTCTATGATCAGTTTCCCAGTTTACATCGGGCGCATTTGACCGGAACGACTGAAGTATTGGATGCAAACGCCTTAGACGCAGATATTCTGACAAAAACTATCAAGAAGATACTGGGAAACCCTAGGTATGCTATAAAAGCAAAGGAAATGTCAAAGACCTTCAGAGATAGACCAATGAGTCCATTAGAAACTGCCATTTGGTGGACAGAATACGCCTTAAGACATCCAAATACAGAGCACATGCGACTCAATGAGGAGGAGATTCCAATAATTCGGTACTATAGACTGGACAGCATCTTCACTTTTGGAATTCGGGTTGGTTCCGTCCTTGGAACGATAATCTTTTTGGGATGGCGGTTGTATCAGATACATCGGACAAGGCAGAGACGACTCCTGGAAAAACAGAGGATGCTCATGCAGATACAATTGCAGATTAATATGTATGACTATCAGACTTTTAGTACGCTTTAATTTCAATTACAGTAATTATGTTACAGACAGATAGCAGAACTTTTTAACTCATAAAACGGCAACACTAATTTGAGTTTACCAGTTCTCGCAAATACCAGTTTTGACATACTCGATCCCTTTGGAGAAAAATTAAGGAAATTTAAGCACCTTAAAAGTGTGGTAAGCATTTGGAATGCTGTTCTACCTTTCTACCCTTTGCGTTTTATTCATCGCGATTAATATTGAACTTTATTGGCTTACGAGGAAAATATTGATAAGATTGTGCTTGTGAACTAAAATCGGGAAAATTCTTATCAGATATTCTCGAATAGTATGTTGACCTCTGTTAAAGCCGACTTTGAATGTCATATGTAGTTCACTTATAATTAACAATGTTACACCTTATTTGATAAGCATATATTCTTTTAATTTTAAAAATTAATTTACGAATAAACAAATGATAGTATAATTTGCTATCGCTTTTCATTATCCTTTCTACAACTTTGTGAACGCGAGACTTGCACAACAATGGTCGTTCTTTTTGGTCTCCCAAAAAATAAATATTCGAGCTTTTACTCGCAAATCGAACCAAACTTTGGTGGCTTTTGGGGAATTCAGATTAGATAGTGTTCATTTGTGGATAGAACTTCGACATGTACGGTCGGAAATTGTGAAAATGCGTTTCAGTTATGCAAGGCCGGTACTCGGCGTATGTTTACTATTGTTGGTAAACTTTAATTTCGAACAAGTTGAGACGGCTAACATCCTGGGCATATTTCCATACCAGTACACTTCGCCCTTTCTGGTAGTTAAGCCATTTGTTCAATCACTTGTGCAACGAGGACATAATGTTACCTTGATCACACCAAAATCCATGCCTGAAGTAAATGGAGTTCGGTATTTACGCGTTACCAATTTAAATAAACGGATTCAAAGTAAGAATTCTGTGATATTCTAGCATAATAAAAGCTAACATTTGTGTTTTGTTTACTTTGCTCGCAGAATTGTTAGAGTCTGACGAGTTATTCGATTTTATAATCAACAAGTGGAGGGAAAGTATTTTGGCCACCAAAATGTATTTCCATATGTGCCAAGACATTTTAAGTGACGATGCCGTACAGAGAATGCTTAAAGACAGAAACGAGCACTTCGATCTCATCATGATGGAGGCCACCAATCTGGATGCACTTTGTGGACTTGTGGAGTACTACAATGCCACTTTAGTTGGCTTGTCTTTCTTGAATTTCAACTGGTACACTGAAGAACGGGCAGGAAATCACGCCCCGAGCATCTATCAACCCATTTCCCATATTGGATATTCCAGGGATTACTCGCTGCTGAGCAGAATTTTCAACTGGATACATATCACGGAGGAGATGTTGATGGAGAGTCTGATTATTCTGCCATCTCAACTGCAACTATTCAAGAAGTTCTTTGGATATTCGGAGCAAAAGTTCTATGAATTGCGCAACAAGTACTCGGTGATTTTAGTGAATGACCACTTTAGTATGGGCAATGTGAGAGCAAATGTTCCTAATATCATCGAAGTGGGAGGTTTGCATCTCAGCGAACCTCCAGAACCAAGTGATGAAAGCCTCCAAAGATTTATGGACGAGGCGGAGCACGGAGTGATCTATTTCTCCATGGGATTGGATATTTTGGTTCAGTTTTTGCCAGACAACATGCAGCAACCAATGATGCAGGCATTTTCTCAACTGAAACAGCGTGTTGTGTGGAAAAACGAGCTCTTCAATATGCCCAACAAATCGGAAAATGTGTATGCTATTGAAAAAGCTCCGCAGCGCCACATTTTAGAGCACCCCAACATTCGGCTTTTCATCACAAATGGCGGATCGTTAAGTGTCATGGAAGCTGTTTATAGCGGAGTTCCTATGCTTGGATTGCCAGTGTTCTTCGATCAATTTGGTAATTTACGCTTTGCAGAATTAGCGGGAATGGCCGAAGTGTTGGACATCAACACCCTGAATGCAGATATTCTGACCAACACCATTCGGGAGCTGATTAAAAATCCTAAATATACTCTAAGGGCAAAAGAAATGTCAAATACTTTTCGGGATAGACCCATGAGTCCTTTAGATGCGGCTGTATGGTGGACAGAATACGCCTTACGGAATCGGAATCCCGCACACATGCGTCTCAATAAGGAGGAAATATCTTTAATGCGGTATTACAGGTTGGATTGGATGCTTCCCTTTGGGCTCCGTTTTATAATCGTTTTTGGTTCAGTGTTATATTTGATCTGGAAGGTGATACAAAAGAAACGGGAGTGGAAGAAAACAAAAGAGTTAAAGATGCTACAGCCTACATCGCAATAACACTAATTTAACAGCAAGTAAAAGTATGACTTCATGTTACTATGTTTCAATTTCTGTTAACTGATCTCAAAAGTAGGATTTGATAGCAAAAAACGGTTTTTTTTTTTAATATAAGACTTCCAGACTTTTAGTTCGCATATATTCAATTACAATAAAACTTTATATCAGACTGATTACAGCACTTTTTGACTCATAAATAACACTATTTTAACAAATGCTCGAAAATACCAGTTTTGACATACTCGAACATTTCGAAAAAAAATGGGGAAATTTAGACACCTGGAGGCATTTGGTATGCTGTTCTACGATTCCACCATTTTCTCGCTATCTATAGGTAATAATATTGAACTTTATTGGTCTTCGAGGAAATTTAGATAAGATTGCGTTCGTGGACTGAAATCGTGAAAATGCCTATCGGATATTCACGAAAAGTATCCCCGTTAAAACCGACTTTGGCTATGTTATACCTTATTTGATAAGCATATCTTCTTTTAATTAAAAAAATTAATTTACGATTAAGCAAATGTTGAAATAATTTGCTGTCGTTTTTTATGAATTTGCGCGAGCCAACTTTCTGAACTCGAGACTTGCACAACAATGGTCGCTCATTTTGGACTCCCAAGAAATAAATATTTGAGCTTTTACTCGCAAATCAAACAAAACTTTTAGGGCTTTTGTGGGAACTCAGATTAGATTGTGTTCATTTGTGGACAGAACTTCGACATGAACGGTCGTAAACTGTGAAAATGCGCTTCAGTTATGCAAGACCGGATCTCGGCCTGTATTTATTATTGCTGGTAAACTTAAATTTCAAACTCGGGGAAACGGCCAACATCCTGGGCTTATTTCCATACCAGTACACTTCGCCCTTTCTGGTGGTTAAGCCATTTGTTCAAGCGCTTGTAGAACGAGGACATAATGTTACCTTGATCACATCAAAATCCATGCCTGATGTTAAGGGAATTCGGCATTTACGCGTTTCCAAATTAAACGAACGCTTTCAAGGTAAGCATTCATAAATATAAAAACTAAATAAGAACTGACGCTTACTTTTGTTAACTTCGCCGGCAGAAATGTTTAAAGGTGACGAAAAATTCGATTTTTTGATCAACAAGTGGAGGGAAAGCATTTTTGGTGCTAAAATATATTTCCATATGTGCCAGGAAATTTTAAGTGACGATGCCGTACAGAGAATACTTAAAGACAGAAACGAGCACTTCGATCTCATCATGATGGAGGCCACCAATTTGGATGCACTTTGTGGACTTGTGGAGTACTACAATGCCACTTTAGTTGGCTTGGCTTTCTTGAATTTCAACTGGTACACTGAAGAGCTGGCAGGAAACCCCGCTCCGAGCATCTACGAACCGATTTCCCCTATTGGATATTCTAGGGATCACTCCATGCTGAGCAGAATTTATAATTGGATTCATATCACGGAGGAAAAGTTGCTGGAGAACCTGATTATCCTACCAGCTCAACTGCAACTCTTCAAAAAGTTCTTCGGCTATTCGGAGCAAAAGTTCTACGAGTTGCGTAATAAGTACTCGGTGATCCTAGTAAACGATCATTTTAGTATGGGAAAAGTGAGAGCCAATGTACCAAATATCATCGAAGTGGGAGGACTACATCTCAGTGAACCCCCAGAACCATGTGACGAAAATCTGCAGAGATTCATGGACGAAGCGGAGCATGGAGTGATATATTTCTCCATGGGACTAGATATATTGGTTCAGTTTCTGCCGGAGAACATGCAACAACCTCTGATGCAATCATTTTCTCAATTGAAGCAGCGTGTTGTGTGGAAAAATGAACTCTTCAATATGCCTAACAAATCGGAAAACATATATGCGATTAAAAAGGCCCCTCAGCGCCACATTTTGGAGCACCCCAACATTCGGCTTTTCATCACAAATGGTGGATCGCTAAGTGTAATGGAAGCGGTTTCCAGCGGTGTTCCGATGCTTGGATTGCCAGTGTTTTTCGACCAGTTTGGTAATTTGCAATGGGCACAATTAGCAGGAATGACCGAAGTGCTGGATGTTAACACTCTGAATGCAGAAATTTTGACCACCACCATTCGGGAGCTGATTGAGAACCCAAAATATTCTCTGAGGGCCAAGGAAATGTCAAATACTTTTCGGGATAGACCCATGAGTCCTTTGGATACAGCGGTTTGGTGGACAGAATACGCCTTACGGAATCGGAATGCCGCACTTATTCGCCTCAATAAGGAGGATATTTCCGTGATGTGGTACTATAGATTGGATTGTCTACTTTCCTTTGGGCTCCGTTTTTTAATCGTTTTTGGTTCGGTGTTATATCTGATCTGGAAGGTAATACAAAAGAAACGTGAGAGGAAGAAAACAAAAGAGTTAAAGATGCTACAGCTAACATCGCAATAACACTTTTTTTTTTCTTTATTTATTTATTTAGTGCAGAATCTGTACAGCAAATTAAAGTACTTAACAACACAGGTGTCACCAATGAGAAAAGTAAACCAAACCTCAGCATTAAGAAGAGGATTATATATAGTATTTTCTTATTGATTCCTTATCGTCTTGGCAAAGCCTTGCCTTTTGAGACGCCTCAAAGGTCTCGCTGGGAGTAGATTCCTAGCCAGTAAGCTGCGGTGTCTTTCTAATCTATCTCGGTATCGGCTTGTGTGTCTCCCAATCTGTTCTTCCACAGTGTGTAGATTTAGGTCTCTGTGAAGTGTCGTGCCACGCACATACCAGGGACAGTCAGTAATGGTACGTAGAAACCGATTCTGCAACACTTGTAACCTTTTGTAGTTCGATTTGGCTGCGATCCCCCAAATTTGAATACCATAAAGCCAGATTGGCAGGATACAGAATGCATATACTGCCCTCTTGCATCTCAGCGGCAAAGACGCAATAACACTAATTTAACAGCAAGTAAAAAGAATGATCTCAAAAGTAGGCTTTGATAACCAAAAACGGTAGTTGACTTACGTCTACTATATAGCATACGTTTAGTTGTCATGTTAAAATTATATCACAATTGTATATCTTGTCTTCACTGTAGGTTAAATGCATAACATTAAAACTTTACAATTTTTCAAGCACAAGTGAAAGTTATTTTTAATAAATTAAATTTTTTAAATAAATATTAATGTTATTCAGAGCGGACAAAACTATTTGGGCTTCCTGGTTACAAAGATATCCGTAAAAAAAATGGTCATAAAAAACTAGGCTTTTAACAATAATGTGTTAAAGTCAACAACCTACTGATTTGCCGATGCTTAATTGTTTTCGTTTTTATACAGTGATCTCCTTTTGTGACGTATTTTAAGAACAAAGAACCTATTGACGTCATTGAGGCAAAAACCTGTTGAAGTCCTTGATCGGCGGCTTCCCTACGAAATGCCTTTCACCATTTTCGCTTACTGTAAATCTTTTCATCTTCACTTTATTCCCCGACTTCCTGATCTGGTTACCAAAATATAGTTTTAAGGCCCTAACTGATGTGACTTTCGTATGACATGGTAATAGTCGCTTTGGCAAATATTTCGGACAAACAATTACAACAATTGGTGACACACTTTCGGGGCAGAACAACAGTCACACCGCTGGCAGAATGCACAAAATATGAATTCGTGAACAGAAGTGTACTCGTATATATTATTGCCGCTGCTTTCGGTGTGTTTTTAATTTTCCGTTTCGAGGTTTATTTGCACAGTGCGGTGGCATTCTTTTGTTTACGATCTGCGCTTGGCTAAATATTAAATCCGGCAGCAAGTTACCGAAGTGAGAACAATCGGCAACGAGGTCACCAGCCCCCGAGAACGATTAATTGGTTGTACTGCCGAAGATTCTCTCCGCTTAATTGCTATATCGCTATAACTTGCAACTAAGTGTCTTAACGATCGATTTGGGCAACCGCTGTGTTAATTAGTCTGGCTTCGTGAAAACTCATTTCCATTCGGCGTTTGCCATTAATTGTTAACGTTAAATTACGCTTGCGGACTTGCCTTTTACAGTTGTCATTTCATTGCCAATGGCCAGGTTATTTTCCACACCGAAGTCGCATTGCCTTGGCTTATTGTGCCACAGATTATTAGTTGCATCCTTGATCTCAAACGGTAAACGAGACTGGCCATCTCTTTAACCCCAGTGTCAACTGCTTTTCCGCGGCACTCGTAAACGCAAATCTCGTCCAATTTCACGTGCCCATATTTTTGGCCACTGACAAATGAGACAGGTTCCAGATATGTGTCTAAATTACCAAATAGGGGGACAGACGGGCACAAGAATACGCTTGTTTTGGCCAGCCCACCAATTGCCAAAATTGAAATAGAAATATAATTTTGCATAATTATGCGTGAGCCGGCGTGACTGCGGTCCCGAAATGAGTACGGTCATAATTTAAGACCATAGAAACCCAGCTATTTAAACAAACAGTTAATCTGCTGTCCACCGTCTGGCTGAAAGCGAATTTACAAAGTCAGCTAAGGGAATACCCTTTCATCCATTAGTTTCATAAACGATTAAAGCCATTAATTTGTTACCTAAAGATATTTGCTATTATAAAAGTGATTAATGATCTTTGGGCGTTGTTTAAAACCTAAAGCATTTTTTTATTTATATAAATACTTCCTTTTCTGAAAAGACTTATTTAATTATGACATGTAAATTTCTTTATTAATTAATAAAGTTTATCTATGATATTCGTAATATGAGTTTCAAAGTCAACTATTTAATAAGGTATTCATAATTTAGCACAAGAAGGTCTGCTAATTAACCTAAGCAAACAGCAACCCCTCAAGGTGACTCTAGAATATTTGATGTAAAACTTAAGCCAGCTTCGAATTCCACTCAGGTCGTAAAGCCATTTTTAAAGATATTACCAACTGCTGGCCATGTTTTGCATGCCGCAGCTGGTTAAGGTATAAGCCGGAGCAATTTGACGCTTAAGCGCACCGCTGCAGAGCCGCAGCCTCAGTTTGTCGGCGACAGTCGAACGTGGAGCACGAAATAATATTGCGGTACGCGAAGAGTCCGAAACTGAGGCCGAAATCGTAAGAAGTCGAATCGAATTATAGTTAATCGAAGTGGCAAGCAGAAGACTCGGGCCACTAAACTTGAACTTGCCCAACACACGAAGCCAATTGGGCAGTGCAGCGAAAATAGTGTTTGAGTGTTCAAAGTGCTTTGAAGTAATGCCCAGAATTAATCAAAGAAAATATTTCCACACCGATTGATGTCTGTGAAATTGACATATTTACGCGACAAATCTGTTTAAAATTGCGCACTGCAGTTGCCGTCTTGTTGAGTCATTGTGTTGAGCAGGGTTCAAGAAAAATATGTGTGTCAAATATTTGTCTGTTTGCTGGTGAAATATTTGCACAGCCAGCCTTTGTTAATGAAACTCCCCGAGCGTCAGCTTGAGCAGATGCCTTTGCGAATGGCTGAAGCAAATTTGAAAATAGTTTTGAATTAGTTCCGTTTTTGCAGGCCCGGCTACTTATATAATGGGTCAAGCGAAATTTTACTGTTTTTTGGCGGCGCATGCCAAAAGCCACTGGGCCATCATCTTTTGAATCTTTTGGATCTTCGGCCAACTCTCGATTTCTCACACCTCTCGCACGGCGCTTATCTCTTCATTTCTCTCAGCTATTTGGCTTAATTTTTTCTGTCTTATTTTCTCACTCAATATTTACCTTTTTTGTTTTGCTCGTCGCTTACGTAAGGCGTCGCAAGCCCGTCTGGCCGGCTCCAGGCCAAGTCTGCATCTCCAGCCCGATCTCCGATCTCGGCCTGAATCCGCGTCCCATTCCCAGTTGCATTTCCACCTCTCGGCTCGGCTCTCAACTCCCGGTGGTCAGCTGCTTTTCCTCCCCCACGCCCCCTTTGAGTTTTCCCATCCCGTTTAAATGTGCCAGCAACAAACTGGCAATTTTTAGGCCCTCTCTCGCTGACTGTCTCTCTTATTCCAATTGCCAGCTCTTCAATTGGCCTGGTCGTTTCAAAATAGCCACATTCTGCTATTGGAATAGTTTTGGTTTCGGCCAAATCGTTACATATTTGAAAGCGTCATTGCGCAAAGTCCAAGTCCACTTTGCATATAACTCTTGTAATCATAAATGCATATATTAATGCAATGATTTATGGCCAAGAGAAATGCCCACAGCTGATCGGCAATTTGCTCTCTTTCGGCTTTCGGCGTTCGGCTTTCAGCTTCTCTGCATCTCTGCAGCTGGTTGAACAACTTTCAAGGAAAGTGCAAGTGTTGCCATGGCATTGTCGCAACTACAAATGGCTCAGAGAGCTTGGAGAGCCCAAAATAAAAAAAAAAATAGGAGGCCAGTAGCAATGTCGTGGCTTTTGGAAAGAAGGAAGTGGCTCTGGGTTACTGGTTTACCGGGGGCGTGTTCATTGGCGTGTTTTTTGTTATGGCCCAGTTAAGCGATACTGTTAAGGAAGCGGAACTATAATTAACACCCTTATTAGAGTTGCCAAAACTTTTCCATATTCGGTTGATTAACAGATTTATGGTTACCGTGAAAAAAAAAGTTCGTTTGCTTCTTTGAGACCTTCTCGCCCTGGTTTCCGGTCTCGTCATTCAATTAGCCCATTGTCATTGGGTCTGTATTTTTATGTAAAAAATAAAACAAATTCATATTCATACACGCCATTATGTGGAATAAACTAAGAGCCATATGAATTCCTAATTAATCATACGCCCTGTGAGCATGCAAAATATTTGGTGACCTCCCGTAAGGAAAAAAATAAAGCGGCGGCAATAAAAACAACAGCAGCAAAACGAAATTGAATAATGTCTGTATTAGCCCAAGACAAGCACTGTGAACAAATTCGAAAATAATCACAAGCAAGCAATTTAAATTGAGACCACTGGCAGACTGGCGGAGTGGCAGTGGAAAAACTGAGCCAAGTTAGTTGCTCAGAGCCAAGTTGAGCGGAGTCAAGCGCAAGAGCGTCCAAATCTGCCTCTCGAGCTGTTGACATTCGCGTCTTTGTCTTGGCCCTGACCAAGAAGTTGGCTCAGAAGCGTTGCGCACTTCGATTCGATATTCGGTTCGTTTTTTTTTGGCTTGGACATTGACGTTTGGCAAACACATTTGGCCATAACACGGCCCCTCGACTAATGCATTATTCCGATTTGTTTACCCAGCCGCAAAGCAAACGCACGATGACAACGGCCGGACTTCGACCACTTCTAAGCCTTTTGCTTCTCGGCTTGGGATTGGTACTCCTCTGCGATGTCAGCTCCTCGATTGCCATTGCCCCCTCGACATTTGGAACGGCGATCGCACGTGCCGGGAAGATATCCAACCAGCTAAAGGTGAGTTCAAAAACCCCCTATCCCATCGGAATAAATTGGTGAACAAAACTCGAATGGCTGATCTAAGAAAAGCTCGTAGACAAAAGAAGCATTACAAAGCGTGCCAGTTTCTGGCCATTTCGGCTGACTCGGCCAGTTTGTGTGACTTTGACATCGTGTTGCAAATTCGTTGCCGCCCCGAAAAGTAATTCAACACCTGACTAGGTAGCCATTGTCTCGGCTTACGGCCAAGTGTTTTGGCCAACTTGTCGGGCTGCCGGTCACTGCATTTACATATGCCTGTTAATGGAGTTTATGGCGCGCCAAACGGCCAGAAAGACTGGTCAATTGCAACTCCCCGCCGTTCTATTGTTTTATGGAGGGAAGTGAAGCGCGTGAAAAATGCCAACAAAACGCTCGTTTGGCACCTGCTAATTAGCCAGCCTGTGGCCCAAAACATGTGCTCAGGGGCAGAGAATTCGGAGGGGGAATTTGAATAATGTCTGGCCTTCTTGGCAGCCCTACTGAATACGAATCTTGCCGGCAATGCAATTAATTCATAGGCGACGGCATGACATTTGGTTTATATGCAGCGAATTGGCAGCGAATTGTTCACTTGACTTGGCTTCATCGCGATGCCCTTTATATAGAAATCGTGCAGCGATCCCACACTGAAAATTTAATTATTTTCGTCTCCCTCAATCAACAAATTATGCCCATCATGAGCCACTAACCGATTAAGTGTGGCAATTAAACTATAGAAACATTTCCGTTTGCCGGTCGGATAACATTGACTGATAAAAGGCCAACATGAACGGCATGCCGGTCCAACTGCCACAGAATGCACGAACGAACAATGGCCAAAATCTACGAGTACACTGTCTACAGCGGGCCATTGCGTGCCTTACATAATCCGACAATAAAAACAATGATTACAAGCACTAAAAAACCAACAAAACAAACCAAAAATGTATTTGAAACACCAAACAGTCAACGGACAGACAGTAACAAGTGCAGCTTGAACAAGATGGCAAAAATTCACTTGGAATAGGGAATCGAATAGGGGATACCTCACAATTTAAATAAACATGCTAAGTGATCTTATAGTAACATAAAAATATGTTCCATCTGAATATGGTATCAAATTTATTTTAATCTATCAACTAAAATAGCTTATTAATTTTATGCAGTTGAAAATGAAATTATTTCCCTTAAATTCAATCAAGCCTTGCATACCCAAATTTTTTATACTGCACGATACTTTAATGACTGGCGCTCCAAAGTGAATAGTGTAGGAAAATCGAGGAGCAAGTGGAATTTAATTCAAAAGGCTTTAGACACTCGAAAGTGCAACAGTGGCTGTCGGAAGAGCGAAACGCTGATCCCGGGTGTTCAGACTTTTTGCGGTGACTGTGTTTCGGTTTGTTGAGAGTGTCACTCCTCCAGACCGAGTTCAATAAATCAAAGTTTACGGCTCCGCGTTCCATTGCATTTGTCGGAACTGTAACTGCAGCGAATTTGTGCGGCTGTCAAACGGTTGCATAAAACAAAAGACCTGAGACCGAAAACCGAAGACCAAAGACCGAAGGCTGTCGTCATCATGCCCTGTCCCCGGAATTTAGCCCGTGGAGCGGCGATCGCGGCTCTCTTGCTGGCCATCGGTCTAATTGTCTTGGCAATTTGTGTTCAGCGACCGAACGAATCCGGCCATCCGATCATAGTCACCGAGCAGAGAAAGTCCCCCGCGGAGGAGGTGAAGGCATTGTATGCCGATGGTGATTTGCGAGATTTGCCAGCCAAAGCGCTTTTTTTAATCGCCACCACAACTTCAACAATATCGCCGGAAAATGCTGCAAAAAGCGAAAACTCTTCCGGGTCACTGGGCATGCGCCAAATCCTGCAAATTGCCAGTTCTACCGCGGTTCGTATTGAAAACGGTTCTTATGCAACAATTGCATCGGCGGCATATCGGCTTTCTATATGCATTTTGTTTCGCTTTAGTTTTTTTGGCTCTCGAGCGTGGCGTGAAAGCAGCCATTGCATAATGTTTGCATTGTAAGCGGCGAAAACATCATGCAAGATTCGCAATGCAGTCAATAATGTGGCTGCCTTGGCTGGCTGCTCTCACTCATTTGCATATTGGAGCAGTTCGATGGCTAAAAGCAAATCGAATACCAAGATTGATTGGCAGACTTTAATTGTTTTCCCAGCACTCTCGCGCTTTATGCGTTTGAACAATGACCCACTTCTTAAGCCGAAGTTTGTTTTGTTATCGAACACATGGCATTAGCCACGAGCGCATTAAACAGTTATAATTAAAGCCAACATGGATCGGATCTTGATAGGAAACTGTTATAAACCAGCTACACCCACATTTGCACAGGCCACGGACCACACACAAAAGTGCCAAAACAAACACCACGAACTTCGAATGCCTTTCAAGCAATTGAGCTCGATTCGGCAGTTGCTCTTGCTTTTTGGTGAATATTTCAGCCAGTTAGAGTATACAGCATAGAGCACACGTAATTAGCATAACCACACTGGCTAAGGTGAACTTGAATCCATCTCGGTGCTGCACAGCCACAGCCACCGAATGCCGTCTAATTGTGTCATGATTCACACAGGCAGATATAAGCCCATTTTGGCCTGAGACACACGCCCATTTTGGCCTGGGAACAGCCGGCAGATCGAGATTGTCGCTTCCTCCAGCAGCACGTGACTCTCATTGTTGGTGTTGCCAATTCCGGTGCCTAATTGCCCCAAAGCGAGCGCCTGAGTTATGCAAATGGCATTTCAATTAAGCGACGCAGTCGGTGAAGGTTGCCAGCCGACAGTTAACGCCGCTTTACAAATCCGACAGACCCAAAAATTGTCATCGAGCCCGATGAACTTGGACTGGGCCAACAGAGCTTTGGCTGCATGTTTTGTAAATTGCTGTAAATGCACGGCCAAAAAGATCATTGTCAACTTTATGTTTACTGCCCGAGATTTTATAGCAAGCTTTTATATTAAAGCAAACTTAAACACGTTTAATAAAGAGGGGTCAATAAGATAAGATAAGAGACTTTTGTACACTTATTATTTAATATTTTACAACATTGTGTTGAGCGTAGAATATCACAATATTTTAAAACGCTTCTTATATGGATTAAATATTCCACAAATTAGATTAAGTTTTAAGTTTCTCCCTGTGCATCGTAAACATCTTTGGAATTACCAATTGCAGGAGACGACGGCCTGGAAGACCCTGACCTCACATCCCAATTCCCTCGTCCAGCTGCTGCCATCGAGAGCAATGCGAGTGGTGCAGGAGGTGGTGCGATCTCTGCGGGTGAGTCTCCACCGACCTTGAATGGTGGTGGCCGTAAATGCCGCCTCTTTGGGAATTCGCCGAATTGCCGAGCGGTGGCCAATCAAATCTCAACTTGAACGTGGACAGCTGGCCAAACATGGACGCAGGTGTTGTTCGGTTTTGGGGCTGAGGTCGACTCAATAGCAAAGAAAGATCTTTACATTTACACACACACACCCCCCAACCCCCACCTTTGTAAGCTGGTCAAGAACTGGCCAACAGGTGAACGAATCAACGGAGGCGGGAACTGGCTTTTTGGCCATTGACCGAGGCGATTGCGCAACTTTGGCCAGGCTCATGGCATACTTCTCTGCGCCGGTTCTAATCGAGTTCGCACTCCAATGCAAATTGGTTGCGCAACATAGATTTTTTGCATTCGCAAGTGGCAGCCAAATTATTGGGCCTTGAAGTGGGTTTCTTCTATGAACATTACCTCTTGCAAACGACCCCAAAGTGGATACTAAATATAGATACTAATTGTTTGCTATAATCATTCACAGAAAGAGCGTGAGATTGTGGCCACCACTTCGCTGGGAAAAGTAAGGGGTCGCTATCAGAAGTACCGCTCTGGAGAACGAGGAGGTTATTACAGCTTTAAGGGCATGCGATATGGTGCAGCACCCACAGGAGCAAGAAGGTGCAATACAATCAATACCTAAATATACACTTTTTATTTAAAGAATATTATTAATTCCAGATTCCGAGCTGCGGAGCCGGAGAAACCTTGGTCTGGCATCCGTGATGCTTCTCGAGAGGGTCAAAGTTGTCCTCACAAGAATATGATCCTCGATACTTTCAAAGGAGATGAGGACTGCCTCTTTGTCAACGTTTTCACCACTCGAATGCCAAAGGAAGAGGAGTCAGCCGAACAACCAAAACTTCCTGTAATGGTTTGGTTGCATGGAGGAGGATTTTCCTTCGGTTCTGGTAACTCCTTCCTCTACGGACCCGATTATCTGGTGGCCGAGGACATAGTTTTGGTCACCCTAAACTACCGCTTGGGTCCTCTGGGTTTCCTAACCGCTGGACCAGATGCTCCTGGGAATCAGGGCCTCAAGGATCAGGTGCTGGCACTCAAATGGGTGCGGGATAACATCGCTGCTTTTGGAGGAGATCCCAATCAAGTGACCATTTTCGGAGAGTCAGCAGGTGCTTCATCCGTCCAGTTGCTCTTACTTTCAACCCAGGCCAAGGGACTTTTCCAGCGGGCGATTTCCCAAAGTGGTTCCGCACTGAATCCATGGTCCATGTCAGTGAGCTCAAGTCAGAGAGCTGCTCGATTGGCCGCCAATCTGGGTTATGTGGGTGCTAACAACACTGAAGATATCCTTGATTTCCTGCGAAGGGTTCCAGCCATGAAATTGGTGGAGGCTGCACCCACCACAATAACTGCTGAAGATCACCGGAATAACATTGGTCTGCCTTTTGTGCCCGTGGTTGAGGGATATTGGAATAAGGATTCACAGGAGGAGCAGTTCTACGAGCAGCCCTTCTTGACTCAGCACCCGAGTGATATGTACCACTCGCAGAACTTCAACAGCGATGTGGCCTACATGACGGGTTACAACACTCACGAGGCCATGTTGTTTATAAGAAGTAAGTTCTTAAGAAAAAAATAAAGAAACCTGTAGTAACTTTTCATAATTTTCCTAAGGACTTCGCAAGAATCCCCAATTGCTGAGCATCATTGAAAATGATTTTGGCCGCCTGGTGCCTCATGATTTAAATGTGACACAATCCCATGACAGAGTTACCCGGGAAATAAGATCTTTTTACTTGGGAAACAAACATGTGGGCATTGAATCAGTGGATGAGATGATAGCCGTGAGTTCAGCTTGTAGTATAAAAGCCTAGAAATATATTTAATAATGATTTCATTTGATAGCTCCTCACGGATCTCATGTTTTTGCAAGGAATCCGTCGTACGGCCAGAAATCATGCCAAATATGGAAATGCACCTGTTTACATGTACCGCTTCTCTTTTGATGGAGCTTTGGGTCTGTACAAACGGATGTTGGGAATTCCCCGGCCCGGAGTTTGTCACGGTGATGAGCTGGGTTATCTGTTCAAATTCGGGTTCTTTAACTTGAGTCTGGATCCCAAATCGATGGAGGTGCAGGTCAAGAACCGAATGGTGCGCATGTGGACGAATTTCGCCAAATACGGGTGAGTAATCCATTTAAAAATCATATACATAATATATATAAACTATAAATATAATCCATTAAAGATCTCCCACGCCGGATAACGAGGATCCGCTGATGACCACCAAGTGGGCGCCAATCGATCCCACCAATGTGATGAACAGTCTCAACTATTTGGACATCTCAGCCAATTTGGCCATGAAAACGAATCCCGAACCGGAACGTCAGAGATTCTGGGATGAGATGTATCAGCATTACAATGGTGCAGCTATGTGAAAGATACACCCACTTGCACTCAGATAACACACACCACACACACACTCACCCCCACACAAAAATTTCGTATTGCCATTTTGTGAAAGATCGCGCGAAACCCAGAATATTTAAATGCAAATTTCATTGTACAATTTTCGTAGTTTATAGGCAGTTTTAGCTATATTATTAGCATTAGTTTGTAAGTGTTTCAGCATTTATCCACACCAACACCGTTTCACTCTCATAACCCAAAGTCAAGATGTCTTTCCTTACTACACGTGTATCCACAATAACCAGGTGTAAATAGTCAGAGTCTATCTAATGCATAAAGCTAACATCCAATACACGATGTTTTTGTAAATTAAAGATATTTTATTATTAATTTTGTGTTTTTATTGGGGAAAAGCCATTGTTGCACATGCTGAATAATAATAATAACTTATAACCAAAGGTATTAAAGCATAACCAAAATTTTTTTTAATAAATATATTTAAACTAAGGCGGTTTACAAAAAGTGACCGTATTTTATATTTTTCCAAAAAACTCAAAACCTTACTTATGTTATACATACTCTACGCTAATTTTTCAAACGATTTCTGCAAATGGTTTATGTCAACAATAACGTGACTGTAAAATGTCAGTAAAAGCAAAGAGGCTAGTGAAGACTCAACCCATTATTTAGATCTTGTAAAAGTAACCGCTTTTAGACCATCATCTATGTGAAAAATATCAAACTATAAAATATTTAAATTTATGTGGTGTGAAGCAGACTGGTGTGGATAAGGCAAACGTGAACCAGATTAAATCCGGCGTCCAACTTAATAATTCGCATCATTTTAGCAATAAATATATAAATCTCTCAGCTGGGAGTTAATTGGGAAAGTCAACCGAATCGATTTGTTGGCGATTACAGAAATAGCACTTGCGTGGATTTCGAAACAAATTACACCCCAGGATCATAAAGTGTCACAATGATGGACTACAAATTTGCACTTGGCGCGATTTAAGTGGCCCCCAACCGCGGGTTCATCCAAGTATCGGGGGTCGCACTCACACTGGGCGACAAAGCTGATTATCCAATTATGTCAGCCGGCTTTGGCGCTCTTCATCCGCGTCGACCGCTGCCATTCACAATTTAGAGTGGATCGTAAATTATTCTGGGCCCGGGGAATGACGGAAGAGCATTGAGATGGAACATTTCTGCATATCTGCCGCATGGAAACCGAGTCAGCCGAGAGATTTCCTTCAACAACTAGGGAACTTCGAATAGGCGTATACAAAACATTCAGCACAAATCTAGTTTTTATTGAACAAGGCACAACACCTTTATACATTTCGTACAAACTACACTATTTGTTTTTCAATTACTCTTTTTACGGTTTTTCTTTGGCTTGTTATGTCGGACACAACTCCTTTGTTCCGATCAAAGCGTCTGCAGCCACGCCCCCTGAAGGCGTTGAGGGTTTGCTTTCTGCGAAACGGAGACCGTCACTTTAAGGGCGTCAATATGGTCGTCTCGCATACCCGTTTCAAGGACTTCCGGGCTCTACTTCAAGGAGTCACTGAGGCTTTAAGGCGCCTCGTGGTCCTGCGATCGGCCATTGCGAATATCCGTCGCATCGACGGATCCCTGTTCACCTCACTGGGTTGCTTCAGCGAAGGCGACATTGTGATTTGCTGCTGTCAGTACGAGGATATTGTTTGGGTGAGGTACGAAGTGAACAAGGACTTTCTGCGCTTCATGGACTCCCAGAACCGCTGGCAGGAACGTCGGATGTGCGGGGAAACGCTAGAGAAGATCGTTTCGGAGGACCTGCCTCTGGCCATTAAGTTGTATATCAGCCATCTGGATCCCTTGGTGCAGAACGCACGAACTCTCATTTATCGTGGCAGATCGAGGGCCAATCGGATGAAGTGCATCGTGAAGGTGGTGAACAAGAACTACATGGACTTCGTCTGCCAGGACTCCTACATAGAAGCTGAGGTGGTGCGTCACCTGCAGAGTCATCCGAACATAGTCGAACTTATGTATTCCGTCGAGGAAGCGCGCTACGTTTACTTGGTGCTGGAATACCTCGATTCCGATCTCTATCAGGTAATTCGGGAAACGGGAGCTCTTTCGGAAGAGGATGCCAAATTAGTGATGAGGGCCACGGTGGCGGGACTGATGCACATGCACCAGTTGCAACTGATCCATCGGGATATCAAGCCAGAGAATATACTGCTTCGCTTTTCGCCAGACTCAGAGGAACTCGAAACGATCAAGATAACCGACTTTGGCATGGCCACTTATTATAGGGGCAGCAAGTTGTATTCCTGCTGCGGAACTCCTTGCTACATGGCGCCAGAGTTGATCACTGAATCGGGCTACGATTACCAGGTGGACTCCTGGTCATTGGGAGTTACTCTATTTTATATCCTGTACGGACAGTTGCCTTTCGGCGATATCTATCATATTGTGGTGGAGATTTATGCGGCTATCATGAGTGGCGAACGCAACTATCCGCAGAATGCGGCAGTTGTTCTTAGTACAGAGGCACGGCAACTTATCAATGGACTGCTGATGAAGGAACCCACCATTCGGCTAACCATCGCAGAAGTTGCTCAGCATCCGTTTCTGGCTTGAAAGCTATGCAGACACCAAATTTCAGTAGGTTTAGATTTGCTTAGGGCTCCAATAAAGACTAATAGATTACAAAAGACTGTGATTTATGGAGGCGTTGAACGGTTTTAATTGGATTAAAGCCATGATAATCAACTACGCATGACTCCGCCGATGACTGAACAGTGATTTTTGCTAACATATATCTCTGTTATTAACGTCACAACTTATTTATTATTTGTGTTTGCACAATGCAGCCAAAATGCGCGTGAGTCGGGGGTAAACACTGAGATATACGACACCTTGGACTCGAATGTGAGCCAAGATACAAACGTGGGCCTTTGTTTACGCTGTCTATTCAAATAGAGAGTGCGACTCCCGTTGCCAAACGACCCCTGATAAATCAGAACCTTCCGGCCTGTCCGATCGATATTGCGACACTCCATGAGAGGCGTACTAAATATTAAGTATACGCCACCCCTTCAGCGTCGAGGGCTCAAGGTCGGCTGCATTGAGAAGTGTCTCCGCCTTCTGATCCCGTAGATAAGATGAGCTTATCGCACGTATCTTCCGCTTCGCTTTCAATTTACGAATCATTCCAATTGAACTTATTCCGCGGCAAAGCCACAACTTGTATCTTTCGGTGACACGTAGTGTATCTGTGAGAGCATCGTCGATCTGCAGTGCGAGAAATGTCGTGTGCGTTGTGTACGTACATTTTCTCTCTTCCTGCACGTGTCTGTATGTGTATCTGTGCTCATTTACAGCTCGCCGCTTTCTGTTCGCAACTTTTGTTTAGTTGGAAAAGTGTGTTCTTTCAGTCGGCCGTCATTTAATCCATTGGTCGGACTTGCGGATCCGTACATCTCGCTGTGACAGTCGCTTTTGTGGCTGCGGCTTCTGCGGGCACAGCTCCGAGTGCCCTGTGATCTGTGATCTCCCGGCCTCGAATCATTTCATTCCTGCCCCGACACGCGTCGTCGAAACAGAGCCAAACATTTCCGCACAGCTCGTCAATTTATAATTTCATATTTATTTTATTTTCGCGCTTTGCCATCTTTAAGTGCCCGAAATATGCTGATCTTTAGTGAAACAATAGACATCTAACAAATAATCGGTTAAAAGGTGTCAATTAATCGAACATTTTGGAGGTGCTAAAACTACTTAAGCCAACACGTGCGATCGATCGATCGAAATTTAATAAAAAATCCACGGTGCGTGCGCTGATTTTCAAATCATATTTAATATAATACATTTGATATTATATCAAGTGTTTGCCTCGAATCTTGTGAAAAGTGCAGAAAGGTGTGAAAATTCAAACAGGTTGCGGAAATGCTTACGCTTTCAGATACGAAATTTCCTGTAAATTTATTCACTAACCCATAACAAATTTTAACAAATGTGGCAAACGCCTGCTATTTATATGGTTGAATAATATTGCAAGTACCTGATATTTATATCATAAATTAAATAAACTGGCCAATAACGAGTTCATAGCAAATCTGGTAGTTTGTTTTGCCAGCAAACCGCAAAGTCTCTGAGAATCAGCTGACGCCGATGGCGAAAAAAGATAGATTTCTCGCACCTGGGTTGCACTTATCACAAGTTTCTGTTTGCCCACTCGACGCTTGAGTTACCCATGCCAAAAAAGATTAATTGAAGGGGCAATTTTTGTCGCTCCTCCGCCCACAGATGCGTTTCAATTTCTCCACCCACTCGGCGGCGCCCACTTCAACGGCAACCACAACAACGCAGGCAAATGGAGGGGACAAGGCCGCCCAGCCGCTGAAGAAGGCCATCGAAGGGGATCCCGATTCGCTGGACAGTGTGATCAGCAATCCGCACTCGTATCCCATCACAATTGTGCCCAACCGGCCGACCAGCTTCTATGGCCTTTCCCAGAATGGCAAGGCGTTCCCGCGTCAACCGAGTTGCAGGTGAGTGGGGGCTATCTATTTTCTAAACTGTTTACCCGGCCTAAGTGATCCGGTCAATATGTGTGCCGGTTAGTTAGAGCTGCTCTAATTTTTTCGGCAAATTCAGACCACTTTAACGTTGGCCTGGGCGGAATCGCGTGGCGAGGAGCGTCAGTTTAGTTTAGTGCCGCGAAGTTAGAACGTCTAGCGAGATGCAGGTGCCGCTCAGCGATGTCCAGGTCCTGCAGGATCCCACCGATGCCGAAACATTGGTCGGCGGCGATAAGGAGGAGACCTTCGCCCACATGAAGGAGTGGAAGCGGCAGTACATGCGCGGCATTTCTCACACGCCCTCGCAGGCCGGAGTCTACTACGAGGCCTTAAAAGGATCCAGCCACTCGCTGGCCAAAGGGTGCGCATTGAAAAATTATAGCAATCCGGGTCTGGAAATAACAAAGATATAGTGCGAAAAAATAACGTTATTTATTTAAAAACTTTTTTCCCTAAAAGAGTTAAAAATATGAATCAAAAAATTTATTATTCATTTTGGTTCGTTTTGAAGTGGATCAAATGTGCTTACTAAAAAATATGTAAGCAATTACATTTCCAATTTATTTGCTTCACTTAAGAGCTTAAATTAGCAAATTTTTAGCTACTTCCAAAATATTTTGATTATTTGTTGCCTATTTTATATTTTTAGTTTTGAGCACTTTAGTTTTATATTGCTTTCATAATGGATTTACTTAATCCAGATCCTATATGGCTTCAACTTCAACTCAACCCAAAGGAAATTTGCAAAACAAAACAAACAGAAATTTGAGCTTGGGGCAACAATTACCCAATTACTCAAAGTTCCGCCGGCTTTCCGCCCAGTAATTAGCTCGTCAAGGGGCCTGACATTCAACTTGAACTTGCCGACGAGCGCTCTCCATAATCGCAGTGCGTTTGTGTCACGTTGTCGCATCTTTTGGGCTTTTTGTCTAGCTGATTAGCAGAATGCCGCTTGCTGTTTGCGGTTGTAATTTATATGGCTCCGCCCACGGTTCAAGTGTGATTTTATTTTTTTTGCCCGCAGATTGCAGTGCGCTTAATTTAGGGGCGCGTTACGAATGCAATTCATTAGGCCGGGCATTCAATCTTTTTGCCCCCTTTCAATCTTGACGGCATCTTTCTCACATTTGTCACCTACTAAACGGTTGGCCAAAAGGTTTCCAACTGAATATCGCTTCCCAGGCACTTTCTTCATAGATACAGATTTAATTTCATATTTTTTACTACTGCGTGGGTTCTTAATTATGAATAAAATTTGTACCGACACACTTCAAAGCAGGCAGATGAATCATGTTTCATAAATTTAACCAGCTGAGCTCTATATTTGCAGTGGCGGATCCACGGGGGGGGGAAATTAGGGAAATTTCCCCCCCCTTGGAACCAGAGAACCTGAAAATTTTACTTGTTTGCTATGGTTGACTTTTCAAATATAACCACTTTGTTTACCAAAAAATTGGGATGGATAATTTTTGTTTTATAATTTGTACTGTATTTCTCCCGCAATAATAGGTTTGAACCCCAAATCGAAGAATAAGTTCAATTTCCCCCCCAAGAATCGTCTCTGGATCCGCCACTGATATTTGATTAGGGGCATTAATGCAATCGGCACAATGCCAATTAATCGGCTGAGTGTCAATTTGGGGTTAAGGCAACTGGCATCCGAGAAATGCCGGGTTATGTGGGTGTTGCCATCGGTCGGTGCATCTTAGGCCCATTAAATCTCGGCAATGTGACAGGCTGAGCAAATAAATCAAACAATTTGTGGGTGAGCTGCAATTAAGTGCCATAAGCCGGGATGGATCCGATTGCCCTGAATGTGAAGTCCGATCTGCCTGATTTGCCCGCCTTGCGACACTGCGACATTGCCATTCGTGGCATTAATTAGATGCACTTCTCGTGTGCCTCAACCAAAAACAAACGAGTGCAAATGCGCACACTTAATTTACACAAATTAAACAACACGATGTCGAGACATCCAATTCCATCTGACACTTGCATAAATCATAGAAATCATATTCATGGTCATTCATTAAAAGAGGGATTATCATTATTAATAAGATTATCATTTCAGTAAATAAGGCTTAATTGTTTTCTATAAATGTAATCAAAGGAAAAGGTTGCATTGCTTTGCTGGAGAGGTTTCAGGTGTTAAAAAATAGTTTTAATTGAAAAAACAAAAATTTACATTGCACACTTTTAGGCTCTGTTGTAAAACTGAAACTTTTTGTTTGTAGATCTCGCAATTTCCGGCCTGGCAGCATGAGACGAGTTCGCAGACGAGCGGTGTTCAAAAACGGAGACTGCAATGTGGTGCAGAAACACCTTCAAAGGCGACGAGTTCGCTTCCTACAGGACATGTATACCACCATGGTGGATTGGCAGTGGAGGTGGACCCTTTTGGCCTTCGCCCTCAGCTTTATTCTCTCCTGGCTTTTCTTTGCGCTCATCTGGTGGCTGATTGTCTACACACACGGAGATTTGGAGGAGCCTCACATGCCAGAAAATCAAGGTTAGCTAGCAGTTATTAAACTCTTTGAACAACTAATATTTTTGTAACAATTACTCCCCTTCTTAGAGGAGAATGGCTGGGCGCCTTGTGTCTCTGCAATTGATGGCTTCACTTCCTGCTTCCTGTTCTCCATCGAAACGCAGCACACAATTGGCTATGGAGTGCGAACCACATCTCCAGAATGTCCAGAAGCCATCTTCATGATGTGTTTCCAGTCCATCTACGGCGTGATGTCCTCCGCCTTCATGGCTGGAATTGTCTTTGCCAAGATGACGAGGGCCAAGCAACGGGCTCAGACTCTGCTGTTCTCCAAACACGCGGTTATTTGCCAGCGGGATGGTTGCCTTTCGCTGATGTTTCGGGTGGGCGACATGCGAAAGTCCCACATCATTGGAGCCGGAGTGAGGGCCCAGTTAATACGAACGAAGAGCACCAAGGAGGGCGAGGTGATGACGCAGTTCTTCACGGAACTGGAGATCGGCACCGATGACTCCGGCTCCGATCTGTTCTTTATCTGGCCCATGGTCATCGAACACAAGATCGATGAGAACTCGCCGCTCTACAATCTAAATGCCACTGATATGCTACAGGATAAATTCGAAATTGTGGTGATCCTCGAGGGAACAGTGGAGTCCACTGGACAGAGCACTCAAGCCAGATCGAGTTACATAAACACTGAGATTCTGTGGGGCCATCGCTTCGATCCAGTGGTTCTGTACAACAAGGACCTGCAGGCCTACGAAATTGATTATGCTCGATTCAACGAAACCACTCAAGTGGATACTCCACTTTGCAGTGCCAGGGAATTAAATGAGATCTACAAGATCCAGGAGGGATTCCGCACACCTGGTAAAACCTAAAGAAGAGTATCCTTTCATGATTCTATTATATATTGTGTTCTGTTCAGTAGAAACCACCTTCACCATGCGTCAACTGTCCCACAATCATTCCGATCAGGCCTCCTAGGGCCAAAGTGTTTCGTCCCTGTGTTGCTATAGTTTGTAATTGTTTTTGTCCTATGTAAGTTGCATGCGTCATCTCCTAAAGTTTCACCATTCATACATTAAAGTTTCATTGATTTCTTTTACAGCTTCCCCCTGCTCCTGCAGTTCCGGCTATCAGACACCTGGAAGGCAAACCCGGCTGAACTGGCAGGTATCTGCGCCCTTGTAGAACCGCCTCGACTATCCACACTTAATCGTACGAGTTACCCCTACGAAAATAAGTTAATAAACGCTTTAGTTTGAGTCCACAGCCAAATTGCATGTTCCTGGGCTCGCGGGTCCAAACAAATGACACATAATTGCCCCGATCGCTGCCAGGTAGCAGTTGCATTCGGGACCAACCCACTCATTAGGCATCATTAATAACTCAGCCATATCAATGCGAGAGGTGCCAAAAAAAGCGCACACAGAAAATCGGCGGAACAAGTTCGCTGTGTCAGTCTTTTGATCGTGGGCGACCCCAAAAAGTGAACTAGGGTGGGTATTCCATATCGAGGGTGGTGCAGTGGTGTGGCGCTTGCGAGAAACATTCATATCCTTTTAATTGAAATTGAATCAATAACTCTTATTTGCGCAAACTAATCAACACTAAATTATAACACTCACAGAAAAACAACTCGAATATTTATTATCGCATTTATCACCGCTCCCAGGGTGGATATCTAATGAAATGTGGGTGTGGGTCAGATGCCTGGTATGCTCCATGCCCCGGCCATAAATACAATGCCAAATTTCAGCAACTCTATTACAACTCACCCGAAAAAAACTAAAGCAAAATAGCTGAAAAATTGTAAAGGAAAAAAAAGAAACAAATGAAGTAAATAGGAACGCAAACGCAAACGAAATCGAAATGAATGTTGACTGCCAAAGGCGGGGGCTGTCCCAAGGGGTGGAGTGCCGAATGGTGGTGCTGCGGTGGCTCAGTGGCTCTGTGGCTCAGTGGTGCTGAGTGCTGAGTGCTCAGTGCTGTGCCACGTCCTTAACCCACTTATGAACCCAGTGGCTGCAGAGTGGCTGCAGAGTAGAACCAAACAGCCAGCCAGCCAAAAAGGCAGGCAGGCAGTCATGTGGGGCGCGCTTTATGTTTAATTACTTGTTAAATGTTTTGTCGCTTTTATCAGCTCACATGCTTAAGAGCCCCATTAGCCGGAGTTGAGCACCCACTACTCCTTTTTGCCAGCGAGTGACATGCGTCGCTTTCGGGCCTTTTTGGCTCTTTACCTCTTTACCACTTTACCCCTTTGGCTCTTGGGCTTTTGGGCCTTTTGGGGGGAGAGGGCGACATAAATGTCGATGTCGATGGCCAAAACCGCCCGGCTCTCTGTGTGATTGGCTTCGACGAAACGTGCCGGCTGATCGACAGAATTAAAATATTATTCGCGCATGAAACGTTGCAGGCAACGAGCACCGCATGTGGCACACTATTTTTCGACTGCGACTTCGCCTCCGACTGTGGCACGTTTCGAAGACAAAAGGCGCCACCCAAATGGCTCCAGCCACTTGGCCCCGCGGGTCATAATTCCTCCTCTGGTTTCCCTCCACCCCCCCTTGGAAAAACGTTTGCCAGTTGTGCCAAACAATTTCTCGTGTAATTTTTAATGTGCTGCACAAACACGCGAACAATGCATGAACGTGGTCCGTTTGTCAGGCTAACCATGTCGGATAATCCTAAAAGTTGACATGAATAGACATGGACCCATCTGCCAATGAACTCTAAAAACTAGAGCAGATTCTGGTAATCAATAAACTAAGATTTGCTGTTTTGTGTCATGTTTATGATCCAGTATACTTGAATACCATATAATAAATACTTTCTATTTGCAATTACTTTTTGCTGACATGGAATTATGTGTTTATCATATAATTGATAGGTAATACATTAGATTTAAAAACAAATATAATATGACAATAAATTTATTGCCAGAAACCACTCTTCCTCTTCAAAGTTTGACAGCCAAGTGGCGACAGTGACTGCGACCTAATAAAGACATCAATTGGGACGATGACTCAGGTGGCTTTCTGCCCGGAGATCTGGAGGCAGGGAGCTGATAAACGAAGTTGCAAAACAAGCTTAAAATTAACTGCGGCCGGCAGTGCGAACAAAACAAAAGGTAGAACATGCTACATAACTCATCCATAATCAACACTGTTTACATAAATTTCAAAAATTATTACACGGCAACGGTGGCCAAGGGGACTCCAACTTCATGGGCTGGGTTTTCGTTTTGGCTCTGGAACTGGACCTGGATTGGGATAGGGAACGGGATCGGGAACGGGAATGGGATCGGGATTGGGTAGAGAGCGCGTGATGAATGCTTAAATAATGCGCTTAACCCTGTGCGAACATAATTTATGGTGTGCGGATATGCATGAGTACAGTACAAGTCGGCAGCGAGTACGAATATACGAGTATACACGAGAGTCGGTCAGAAACACACGCTGTTTTCATTGTTATTACACGGACGTTGCCGTTGACCAATCTGTAAGCCCTCACCGCCGCTCCCTGCGCTGCCATTTTGGCCAAATTGATTAATTACGGTCATTCGGGGACGCAGCAGCGCTGCATAAGTAGCATAAAATGCCATAAACCGCCGGCCAGGAGTCGCCGCAGCCCGAAGTCATTTGCCACTAAGGACAAAAGCCGCCAAAAAAGCGAAATTACTCAGGCGTAGCGAACGGGCCGAGAGATCTTCCTCATCTTGGGGCTTTTGGCCGGGTCGCAGCTTGAGCCTTGCCGCTATATGCCGCAATTGATTTAAGTTACCCCGAATGGCCAAGGAGGTCGGTTGGTTGCTCAGTTGGTTGGGGTCCCCCCTCTTCATACTATATATATGTGTACACGGGGAAATATACGATCATGTATATATAATTGTGAGTCGCCTCTGGGCGTGCTGCATGTTCTGTTGTAAGTAATAAGCATTTTTATGTCGCAATTGGCCAGGGAGGGGTTAAGGGCAAGCCAAAATAATGCTTAACACGCCGTTGCCGCTGACATGCTCAACTTGACGATGATGCCGCCTCGGGGGCTGCAACCTCTCTCTGCCTGAATAATATTGAAATTAATTATTTTTGATGGAAATTATTAAGTAATTTTTATACGAGGAGCGGAGTAAGCGGTCTTGCAGGCTCCTGCTCCTGCCTCTGCCCTCCTAATTAATTGTATTTATTAAGTAACATAATAAATTAGCGCTTGCACTTGTTGTTATGCTTGCTCCAATTAAGGAAGTGCCACTCCAAGACGATCGAAATGTCGAGTCTGAAGTCCCGACCAAATTGGCTATCGGGTCAACCGGTTTTCGACGTCTTTTATTTTGGTTATTTCTCTGTTGCCTGAGTTTGTTGATAACGCGCTTTAATTAAAAATCTGCATCCATTTTTGGGCAGTTGCGAGTCTCGCAGCTTTTTTCTCCATATCGCGATTTTTCTTTTTTTTGAACGAAGACCCGCCAAAAATATCAAAATCAAAAGCGGCGCAGGCTCTTTTATGACAGATCTCACTTTAAAGTTGACGTCCGAACTGTCAGAAAATAACACTTGAAGTCTGCGGAGAAGATGCAGTTTTCCCCTCCTCGTTCGCTTGTATTATTTTTGTGGTTTTCTGATGTGAAGTGAAGTTAATTTAGCAGGCTTCGACCGACACAAAAGAAATTGAACAATAAGGCTTAAGCTTCTCTACTTGACACACAAGTATTTGCAAAATAAGTACTTCAAAAGGGCAAGGGCCCATTCAGAAAGTTCAAAGCATTGTTATAAATTTTGTTACCGTTTTGAAAATTATAGATCATTCAACTCGAACAAGCCTGATGTTTTTGGATTTTTGCATTATGGAACTAAAGTTGATGCTCAACTTTTGCACGCTTATCCTTCATGCTTGCTTTAACGAGTTCCAGATAAAGAGCCGTCTTAATTTTTCAAAATCATAACCTTCATGCTTGATTGTTTTCCGGCGAAGCTGGACGCTTGGCCACAGGGTTCAAAGGCCCCAAAATCGCTTGTACTAACTAGCCAATATAAGTGTGCCGAGAACCATGAATCACTTTGAGGTGTTCGTAAAAAGAAACATTTATACAAGCCATCTATTCAAATGACCGATAGTCAAATGTGTAATTTTATTTCCCTCTGAACTTCTTGATGGGTTTTTTTTTTCAACCGGCCCTTTCACATTTGCACATAATAATGTTTTTGGGTTTTGGCTTTTTGGAAAGTCTTGATTTGGAAGGCCTGTGAAAATGATCTCAGATTGGGATCGAGCTGCGATGGGAGGAGATCTGGGCATTTTCAAGATGATTTCATATGCTGTAAACAATTTGCAAATGTCCGGGGCAGCTTTATCTTAATGATGCATAATAAAATTATGGCGGCAATCAGCCGAAATCAATAACCGACGTTTCATGGCAGAGAAAGTAATTATTGGCCGCTCAAGTGGCTCCGACACCCGACGTCAAATCAGCGGTTTGGCTCTTATCCGATAAGAGGAGCTTCGTCTGGGGAGCGGTCGAGATGAAAGTCGGGGTGGGACGATCCGCAATCGGCAATCGGCAGACCAGGAATCCCGAGTCCAAATCCATCTCCTGCCAAGTGGCGGCTCGTTTGCGCCCATCGTCACTTGATTGAAGGCCCAGAATGCAGAAGCAGGCAACAAATCAACGCCGCGAAGCCATCCTACCTCCTTCCGCCTGCCTCTGCGCCTTCTGCAAACTGACCTACAGCAGGAGAGCAGATTGCAGATACCAGTTATGGCTCGCAGTTTTATTGATGCAAATTGCATGCCCTGGGCCCTGTAATCAGTTCGCAAACCGAGGGCTCTGTGCGTGCAATTTGAGCGACAAGTCGATCCCCGCCAGCCTGGCGGAATTGGGTCACATTTGGCCTTAGTCTGCTGGCTTTAGTCTGTTGTTGCGTGGAGCTCACTTAACTGCGATGATTGGCCAAATGGCAAATGGCTGGTGGCGGCGCCACCTAGCGGCCGCTGCCTGCACTAACTCACTTGGCTTGATTGACAGCCTCTTTTTTTGCATTTTGTATTTTTCTTGATTCGGGATGAACGCCCTTGCCTGAACCGCTGTCCTTGTCCATGTAACGAGGTTTAAATAGCTTCAATTACAGGCAGAGATTGCATAATACAGAGAGCTCCCCCCTTTACAGTCGAAACTCCTGTTTTTCCCCCTCGAGGCTTTGAACTTAATACTGGCAGACGGACAGAGCTTGATGGACGACAACGGCACGCCAGGAGGTCATGTCACAAAAATATCCATTAACACATCATAAAAATTAAAAATTAAGAAACCATACGAGCGAGGCAATAAAACCGCAATGCCTGTAAAATAAAATATCTGTACGGTGGAATAAAAACGCCAAGGCATGCCAAGATAATCGCCGACGGGAGAGAAAAGTGAAACCGGTAATTATGCATTATGTATGCACGCCACCAACGCGGCGGATTAAAACGAGGAGTCGCAGTTCGGGGAGTCGGCAGGATAGCCAACATTTCGCGAGAGCCGGCTTACTGTCTGCCCACGCTAAGTAGGAAACGCATTTCTGCGTCTCTCTGGTTTTTTTTCGGCAATTTACGTGCCTTGGCGCGCGACCCGCAAACAAAAGACTTAAGCGACGAACCGGCAGTAACATAAATTTCACTTAATTGCAGATGGCAAAAACCAGAAAACCAGAATGCATTCAATCGATAAACAGAGTGCAACGAATAAATGAGCTCGGCACGCAGGCAAAATGCTTAATGCCGCACTGCAGGCTAACAAATATGCAAAGCACATAAAATTAAGTAAAACAAAAGCTGGCCAGCAGAACATTTATCTCCACTTCGATTGCGCTTCTTCCATTGAAATGCATGTGGAGCAGTTCAACGTCTTCCGCCCGAAGATCGCCGCTTGCAAATTTGTCGCAAGATCAGCGACCACTTCCCAGTAGCAGTTGCTCATTTTCATTGTGCCGGCCTGGCTTATTTCTCACTCGCAGGCAATGACAGTGAATACTGGTACATGTGAAGAAAATCAGATTATAAATATTTATAGTTTAAAAAATTATAACTTTAACCTCTGAGCTCCTGTAAACAAAATTGAATGAATTTGGTTAAAAAGTTAATGACGTCTATTTATAAATTCTGTGTTTATAAAATTGACTTATTCGTTATATGAATTCGTTTCGGTGTTTCTTTAAGTGTACTTCACTCGCACTCGAAACGTTTTGAGTTGCTTTTTGACCACTTTTTTCCCCTTGCAAGTGTTAAAGTCAACAATCGTGAGAAAAGAATTTTATTGTTGTTTCGCCTGTGTGTGGGGCTGCACTTTTTTCGTGCCTTTTCAGTCATTTTGTTTATTTTCATTTTACGGATACTGAAGGTCACTCTGCCTTGATTGCTCACTGCGGCTGGGCCGAGTTGAATTCTGTATTCGTATCTTTTTGGCCTTTTTTCGACTGCATATGATGCCTGCCAGCCAGCCAGCTAGCCAGGCAGCCAGCTAGCGAGCCAGTCAGCCCCAAAAAGTTGCCTTTGTGGAGCTCGGGTTTATGTCTCTCTTTTTACGGGCTGCCCCCCTTATGCCGCGCTCATGTTAAATTGTCCGTTTCATGTTTCTGCTTAAATGTCAGTTGTAATTTGTTGTATTAACCCATACCACATGAATTATGTTTAGTTCGAATGTAATTGATTTGAATGCAATTTGAATGGCAACAACACAACGGTCGCATGGCAACAACAACAACAACAACAATGGCGGTGTATTAACAATAACAGCAACAGGAGCGTCGTCGTCGGCAAGGCAAATTGAAAATTGCCCTCAACTCTGGCCGAGATTAAATGGAATTATGCAAAAGAGCTGCCTGGGAACGGGCTGCGGCGATCCGAACACGATCTCAATGAGAACTTCATCAAGAACTGGGTGCAGCTGGGATGAAGTGGTGAGGTGTTGCCTCGACTAACAATGCTATCGATACATGTCGACACAAAGTCTGATTTCGCATCACGAGTTCCTGCATTAACAACCCAAAATATTCAGTTTTGGGTGGTCCTTCAGTTATGAGAAATGGTATAAAAATTCTTTTTACGATTTTCCAACACTTATTTAATTAGTTATGGTATATTGAAAACCCGAAAACCCCAGCAACAGAAGAGTGTTAATTCATGAAAGCTGAAAATTCTTAAAGGGAATTTCATTTTACTTACGGATTACATGAGTATCCCTATATTTTGTAGTTCAACGCCTGTCGAACAAAAAACCGAGAACACAAGTGCAGCTAGTACGCGATTTCCACTTTTGCAATACCAATTTTGTGACCATGACCGCTAACCCGTGCATATTCTGTTTAGATGAGCAGCGATTTCCACTCCGCATTTCCTGCGGTCACTCCTTCTGCGCAGAATGCTTTGAGAAATATTTGCAATTGGGTCGGGACTCGCGATGTCCACTGTGCAGACGCGATTTTAGGCCGGAAATTCATTCATTTCCGGATGATTTCTACCGAGCTTCTGCAGAAGAAGGCGGATCCATGGTGCTCTTGCCCGAGGCTGATCTGGACACACTGGTGCTGACCCTTTCGGACCAGGAGTGCAGGTTCTTTGAGCAGCTCTTCCGGGAAGTACAATTAACAAACAGTCACAATGCTTGATTCTTCTTGCTTTCTATTTGTATACGTTGTAAATATTAACTCATAATTTGGTTTAGAAAAGTTTATTATACTAAAGTAAATCAGAGTTCAAATCCTGTTGAGACAGGAAAAACACTTGTATATTTTATGAACTTAAATAAAACTATACCTTTACTGATTTAAAAACGCATCTTCTCCTTAAAGTATAACTTAAAAAAGCACATGGGAAATCTTATAAGATCTGTTAGTTCTTTCCAAATTGCTAGGAGAACCCTAAAACCTTTATAAGGCCGTACCAAAATCAAAACAAATTATGGGTTTCGGGGCAGATCGATGGCTAAGTAAAGTGGTGAAACGGCCCAAAAGCATTGCCATGTTCTCGGTTATCGGCCATCTGCGCTTTTCCGGCGACTGCTCATCCGTCTGCCGCCTCGGAAAAGCGCACCATCGATCAGCATTTGTATCTGCTCGTGCAGGCGCAACTTAATTAGACGCTTAGACTGGCTAATTGCCGTGGGGCCGGCGCTGATAAATTGATAAGCCCGGCCGCAGATGACCAGCTAACGACGGCCATTAGCCGAAGTGACAGCGGCAGTCGCGGCAGCCAAACGGGCGGCTGAAAAATGGTGCAAAAATGTTTATTAAATGTCCGTGTCTGACCGGCGGTCAGTGGAGCAGGCCTAGCCCAACCGAAACCAACTCCCAACTCCCAACTCCCAACTTGCAGCTAGCAGCTTGCAGCTTGCGGCAGCCAACTACCAACTTGCAACTTGCGACTCTTGCCGCATTTGTTTGTTTGCCGTTGTCTTTTTTGGCGCTTTATCGCACGAATCATTTCTGGCTGGCCATTTTGACAGCGTTTTGAGTCAACAACATGGCGCATGCAGCAGATACAAATCTAAGCGGCGCATTATGCAACGGCCGGGCGATCGTGCAAATGCTAAGAGCCAAAAACTATCTCATGGATTTGCGCAATTTGTCATCCTGGAATCGGAATCGGAATCTGTATCTGAATCTGAATATGTATCGGAATCATAGTCGGCGGGAGTGCGTGTGTGCGGGCGTGGCCGGCCAAAAACTTTTATTGATAAGACTTGCCAAGTGACTTTGCCTTCGATATTGCATTTAGTTGGCCAATTATTAATGCCCCTTGTCGCCGGGCTGCGTGTAATTTGTGGCAGTTGTTCGCTTGTTGGCCACCGATCGCCGCCGAACTGCAGTTACTGAAATGCGATACACAAATGCGATTGCTCATTTATGAATGTCCAGCGATGGCCGCGATGTGCGATCGTCAATCTTCGAACTTAGCCACGCTTACATGTGATTTAACAAGCTAACAAGCTGTGGCCTTATCGCCGATTAGCTGCTCTCGATAGCGCTGCCAGCCAGATCGGTTTTTTTTTCTAGGCCAGGGTTCATTGAACGCACTCGGCTTTCAACAGAAATCTGAGAAACCGCGTGCAGCAGGCAACGTGCCACATTTTTAGCATTTTTATTATCGCAAGTCATTTGTCAAATTGCTAAACTGACATTAAAGCCGCCTTTCCTGTGGGCTGATAAACCAATTTGACATTTTAGCCGTCGATGATCGATGGCTCGGCGAGATTCCCCCCAATCCTCTCGATTCACCCGATTCATCCGATTCGTTTTGGGAGTGCAAATACAGCCTGGTGACATTTTTGCGCCAATTTCGGTCGCTGGGCCATCAGTTAAGAGCCCAGCCATCAGCCATCAGACCTCAGACCCTCAATTCGCATTTTTCGCTTTCAGTTTTGCAGCTTTTCGCCTCGTTTTTTCTCGGTGGGGAGGGGAGGGGGCTTTGTTTTGTTTGGAGTTGCCGTTTGCATGCGTGGGAGTTGCACGAATTGTGTCGTTAAATAATGCTCCATGTTTGTCCTGCACGAGACCCGCGAAACACACAAAACGAAACGAAACCAAACCAAGTCAAACAAAACGGCTGCACTGGGGATAAAATAAGGATTCTTATTCAAATTGCGGAAGTAAATGATAAAAGTTCAAAACAAACGTATGTCTTCTAAACTTTCAATAAGTTACAAGCATTAAAGCCAACATCAAACTACCAAAATTCCCATTTACTTGACCTTCCTCAAAATGTACAATTATTTGCGAAATAATAATAAAACATTATCCACTTCTAAACGTGACCATCGGTAACAGCCGAAATCATCAATAAAAATTAGCAGTTTACGCTGGCTTAGTTTTTAGAGCCCGCTGTTTTTATAATTCCGTTAAACTAATTTAGAATAAATACCCATTTTATGTTAACAAGCCATAAAGTCGGGTGCTTTGCATTGGTTTTGTTCAGTGCCGACAAACAACAGAAACAGAAACGAAACTGGTTGGCTGGTTGGTTTGGCCAGGCCGAGAGCGCGGAAGCGCTGCTCAAATGGCAACTGGCAACTGGAGCAGCGTTTTGGGTGGCCGGACGGATCGGGTCCAGCCGGGTCTTTCGGTGGGGGTCTCGAGACTGGGGTCTACCTACCGGTCGACTGGCTGGCTGACTAGCTGACTGGCTGACTGGTCGAATGGAGGAGTCCTACCAGCCGTGCCGGCCTTGCATTTGATGTTGATGCTGCTGCCGCCGCGCCGCTTTGTTTAATTGATAGACGACGATGACTGCGACGACCCACGCGGCTATGAAGCTGCGGATCAGCGGAGCTATAAAGCTATGAAGCTATAGAGCTGCGGATCCAGGAGGAGCTCAAGCCAGCGGCACGCGATGTCTTGAACGTTCGCCTCTTTGGCGGCCGGCCGCCGGTGGCAGGCAACCCATCGAACTCAAACTGTGCGCATGCGCATGCAACAAAATGCGACGCCGCGGCGTTGACAGATTGATGCCCCCTAACTCAGTTAAGGCCCCCGCTTCATTATTCAAATTACTTGTGTGTTTGTGCGGAATTTATCAAAGTCCTCCCGCAGTTCACAAGAAAAAAAAGTTAAACGGGAAAACAGGGAACCAGGGAAAAGAAGGCTAAGGTTAGCATGTGGACCAGTTGTTTTTTTTTTTTTTTTTTTTTTTGGTTTTTGGCGTGTGTTGTTCGCGTGGGCGTCAAATGCTGTTTTCCCCAGCTCGAAATAAAACTATTTGCAGGTCAGTCAAGATAAGTTCCATCGTGTCCACCCTGTCCAACTTTCCTTTTGGCTAAGGGCACCTCTCGACCAACAAAAGTGGAACGCGAAATGTATCTGTGACTCCGCAAATGTGACTGTGACTCTGAATCTGAATCTGAATCCGAATTTGAGTCTAAGTCTGACTGCAACTGGGTGCGGCATAAATTCTCATAAATCTATGGCCCAAAAATCAGCGGTGTGTACATATGTAGATAGGTATATACACATGCTGGCCGGAGTAATTAAAGCAGTTTAACATGTCTGTGAGTTTGGCCAGTTTTTCGGAGCTGTCACAACATCAACAAGCCTTCATTCATGCTCTGCGACAGCCACAAGCCAGCCAGTTAGCATAGGTCCGTCATTCCGTCAGTCTGGCAGTCTGGAAGTCTGAAAGTCTGAAAGTCAGTCAGTGTGTCAGTCAGGCGGCCAGTCATTCAGTCAGCCAAAAAGTTGCCATAAATCAACTCATTTGAAATGCATCAAAGGCAGCAATCAGAAACAGAAACAGAAACAGTAACAGTTACAGACACAGAAACTGCCCAAAAGAAAAACGCAGTCAGTTGCACAAATATTTTTACACGTACCACCGATTTCCAATTGAAATCGAACATTCAGCGCAAAGTGACAATGCGCGGGCGGGGCAACAACTATGTATGCAACCAAAAAGAAAAAAAGAGAAAAAAACGAAAAACCTTACAGAAAAATCCAAAGAAATCCGTAAGAAACACCGCTCAACTGTCGTGGGCCATTCGTGTTGCACAATGTGTGAAAACAGGATCAGAGTCCTGCCTAAACATTTGTCAACCCAGCGGCGCTTATATAATCAACAATGCAGATTCGGGCGCCTATTTTATTTTTTTTTTTCTACCAATTAAACAGTTTGTCTGCAAGTTGGCAACAAGCATCAATCAAATGGCCAGGAGGACAAGCTTTGGTTACGATTTTGGTCAAACTACTACTGCCACTGCTACTGGCACTGCTGTTTGAATCGGAATTGGAATCGGAATCGCCCTCGGAATGCAGATTGTTTGTTGGCTTATGACAGGCTTCTGGTTTTGGGGCGTGGCCATTATTAGCATCGTTCGGCCGGTGCTTAATTGATTCGGTTGTTGGCCATGTTAATTGACAGCACGCACGGATGTAACATTGCGATAGCCACTGGCCAGCTGACACGGGCCCAGTTAGTTGGCCAGTCAGTCAGTTGTCAGTCAGTTGGTCATTCAGTCAGTTTGCCAGACCAAAAGACTGGTCCACACACACACAAAATGGCTTGAACTAGCTGCGAGCAGTCGGTAAATTTCACTTATCAAGAGCAAAACAATTAACGGCCGCCGCACGAGTTATAAATATATAAATGTCAGGATGTCTGGATGTTTCGCTGTTTGGATGTCTGGAGCCCTGCGATTCGTGAGCGGCCTGACCCACATGCGATTGGCAACTGCCAGCAATTTGCCACCTAAGCGAGAATTATGATCGCCAGCATTTTCCGGGCCAGATAAGGCGGCACACAACTTATGCGCAAATGCGGCTGTCACAGCCTCAAAATAAAGCGAATATCCGAATACGAATTCGAATACCGATCGGAGTGGCAACTTCCCACCAGCTCCATGGAAAAGTCAACAGCCAGCAGAGCGGTTTCGTTATAATTTCTATTATTTTCCCTTTTGGCATAATTGCAGACAATTTACTTAACGATCAATAGCGTCAAACGGCAGGCAGGCTGGCAGGCAGCGAGCCGACAACAGACGTCGGGAAATTTATTAGCTCCCGCAGCTTCAGCTTCAGCTTTAGACTCAACTTCAGCTTTAACTTTGGCTCTTGGATCTTGGCCATGTGTTGGCCTTTTGGCAACCAAAACACATACTACCGAACTATATCCGCGTGAGAGCCGCTCTTCGTGCCCGGTTTTCTATCCTTGAGCCTCGGCTAATGCGACTGGCATTTTTCTTGGCTTTGTGTGCTTTCTGTTGCCATAAAACATTTATTTTAAATGGAGCAGCCGCGTTTCTCCACCGCCAGCCAGCCAGCC